CATGATTGATTAACTACGGGATACAGCGTAGACTATCGTATAGTGACATGATTGATAAAATACGGGATACAGCCCGTAGACTATCGTATAGTGACATGATTGATAAACTACGGGATACAGCGTAGACTATCGTATAGTGACATGATTTATAAACTACGGGATACAGCGTAGGCTATCGTATAGTGACATGATTGATAAACTACGGGCTACAGCGTAGACTATCGTATAGTGACATGATTTATAAACTACGGGATACAGCGTAGGCTATCGTATAGTATCATGATTGATTAACTACGGGATACAGCGTAGACTATCGTAAGGTGACATGATTGATAAACTACGGGATACAACGTAGGCTATCGTATAGTGACATGATTGATAAACTACGCGATACAGCGTAGGCTATCGTATAGTGACATGATTGATAAACTACGCGATACAGCGTAGGCTATCGTATAGTGACATGATTCATAAACTACGGGATACAGCGTAGTCTATCGTATAGTGACATGATTGATAAACTACTGGATACAGCGTAGACTATCGTATAGTATCATGATTGATAAAATACGAGATACAGCGTAGACTATCGTATAGTGACATGATTCATAAACTACGGAATACAGCGTAGACTATCGTATAGTGACATGATTCCTAAACTACGGAATACAGCGTAGACTATCGTATAGTGACATGATTTATAAACTACGGGATACAGCGTAGGCTATCGTATAGTATCATGATTGATAAACTACGGGATACAGCGTAGACTATCGTATAGAGACATGATTGATAAACTACGGGATACAGCGTAGGCTATCGTATAGTATCATGATTGATAAACTACGGGATCCAGCGTAGACTATCGTAAGGTGACATGATTGATAAACTACGGGATACAGCGTAGACTATCGTAAGGTGACATGATTGATAAACTACGGGATACAGCGTAGACTATCGTATAGTGACATGATTGATAAACTGCGGGATACAGCGTAGACTATCGTAAGGTGACATGATTGATAAACTACGGGATCCAGCGTAGACTATCGTAAGGTGACATGATTGATAAACTACGGGATCCAGCGTAGGCTATCGTATAGTGACATGATTGATAATCTACGGGATACAGCGTAGACTATCGTATAGTGACATGTTTGATAAACTACGGGATACAGCGTAGACTATCGTATAGTGACATGATTGATTTGGTTCTGGTCTTTATTGGCCGTAGCGTCCTATTTACAGGTGTTTTGTTTGCGTCTTGAACATATACAGGCACATTTCTACAAAAGCAATCCCTTCAACAAACAACAAATAGTCCACACAAAAATCCAAAACAGATGTAATCTTTATTCATACATTTTGGCTACATTGACTACAACAATTCGGAATGTTTTTGAAAAAGTAAAAATATACAATCAATTCCAATTACAGCTTGGCTGCGGACACGTATACACTTAATAAGGTATCGGCAGCAATCTTTGTCATATTATCTCTCACACTTCTTCAACTTCAAAACCTTAGGCCCTACTATTGCTGATATAATATATAAAAAAACAAAACAAAAACAAAACAAAAAATATGCACTTCCATGTGAACATTTCTTGGGGTTATTTTGTTTTAAATTTTGAATCAACAGTCAACAGTTATTGCTCTGCGTAAAATTTGTGTAGTTTTGACTACTCTGAATCGCCATTTCACTTAAATGTCCTGACCTGGATCGACATCAATCGATGATGTGGCGTTAGTTCTATTTGGTCACCACGTGATCTTAAAGTGCGGGCTTACCAGGGGTGCTAAGGGGACACCTCGATACTCCAGGGGATACGCCAACTTTACCTCTCTACACCCCTTGAACCCTCTACACTCATGGAATGTGTCATGAATAAAAGCGAAAGCTCATTGTGCGCCACTTTATGGATGAGACGAGAACAGCAGCTTGATCCTTTTATGTACGTCAAATAATATGCCGGTCGCGTAAAATTGACTCGATTTGAAGTCTGGTGTAGCCCCAATGTAATCCTCAAAGAACAGGTATCAGCCTAGCAATTGATGGAGAGTTTAACCAGAGACCAATCAAATAGCCAGTCGCGTGCCTTCAGTTTTGAGCGTAACCCCTGGAGTTTCGAGGATGAGGGAGACACTACGGAAACAAAGAGCAGGTAGGTAAGAAAAAAACAGTAACACACTGGGAGCTGCATATTGATTGTGGTTTCTGTAAAGGCCCCTTAACAAAAGATATAGGGAAACCCTACCAGGGACCTACAGAGGCACTTACAGTGAGGTATAGCAGGTATAATCGTCTCCCGAACATACACAGGTAAGATGAAATACGAATTGATCATAGATGAAAAAACATCAACTATACAACGTGATATTTTGATATATCTGCATAACTGAAAACGTTTAACATTGATTAGTCAAATCTGTATAATTCATCAAAGCAATGTATAACACACACACACACACACACACACACACACATACGCAGATGCTTTAATTGTTCCATGCATTTTTATAAAAAGTCATATGAAGACAAAGTCGGAAATGATTGGGCCACGTAAGGATCCCCGTACCACTCCTAAGTATTGTTTTTAGAATTCGGAATCAACAACAGTGATCTGAATGCATAAAATCAACGGGGATAGACCGGATTTCGAACCCTGGCCTTCAGATTGTAATACTTTCGCACTAACCGATTTGGCCAACTGGTCAACGGAAATATCCTGGTCTAACTGTACTACAGTTATATCCAAACGGAAGTTAAGGAGAGGTAACTGTATATAGGAAAAAGCACAGTACAGTGGGACAGGGATCCTTAAGGGGAGGTAGCTGTACATAGGAAAAAACACAGATCAGTGGGACAGGGATACTTAAGGGGAGGTAACTGTACATAGGAAAAAGCACAGTACAGTGGGACAGGGATCGTTAAGGGGAGGTAACTGTACATAGGAAAAAGCACAGTACATTGGGACAGGGATCCTTAAGGAAGTTAAGGGGAGGTAGCTGTATATAGGACAAAACACAGTACACTGGGACAGGGATCCTTAAGGACTACCAAGTGACGTCTCACTGAATGGTTATAACCAGGACATGGTACCACGTCACTCGGTCATCTTTATAACCGCCAGATACTACGTACCAATTTTAAGGACTTTGATTTGTCTCGGCAAGAGGATTGAACCAAATGATCTCCCCTTGATGTTTTTGAAACATCACAAAGTAAAAATCACATCAAAAATCATTTTTAAAATGTAAAAAAAGCATGCGAAAACATTAGATATAATAAAATCATATTAAATATGAAGTATCATTAAAAAACAAGTTTACACAGTTATACAAATCGAGGTAAAATTAAACAACATCTAAATGTAAGTCCGCGATCCGTTTTTCCCGCATGTTGTCTAATAACCTTACTTGGCTTGGAGTAATTTAAAGAATACAATGCAGTATGTTTTCAGGGAAAAAGAACAAAAATGATAACATGTTGAAATTCAAATTCAAATAGTTCAGTCAAACTTCGTTATAGTTGGAAACGAATCGAAAATAGCATGTGTATGTCAGTCTTTTCTGTTTTGTGACAGCTTATTTCCATCCGTTATTTAACGGAAATCAAGAATAAACCCTGATTAGACAGGGGATAATAACTCTGATATATCAACCCGTACATGAAATTGTTTTAGTTTATAAATAACATTTAAGTGGCACATTCTGTATTAATATCAGTAACTGGTAAGTATGGCTGGCACATGTTTATTAACATTCTTTTTGGCACACGGCATTATTACAAAAACTTCAAGTAGGTAAATCGCTGTTTTTCAGCCATGTTTCGCTATTTGAAGCATTAAAAGGATAAAGGTTTTCTGCTACCAAGGAAGTATTGAACTGTCCATAATACCGCCAATAAAATTAAATTAAAAAGATAAATAATTACAATAAATGGTTTCTGCGTAGTGTTGGCCCATAATAAACATTTAAACTGCTTTTAACAGCGACACCATTCCTGTAAGTTGATGGACACTTACTGACTGAACGATTCGAGGGGAGACAATTCCTGTGTTACCTTATTAACTCGAACAATATACACTCATACATAGAAGTAGTTTTTTCCAGTTTAAAATCCACCGTCCGAAATGAGATTTTGAAGCACACTAAAACAAGAATGAAATGCCTTATGGGTCGTACTCCTGGAATTCTGACATGAGCTGTATTTGAACAAAGAGAATAAAAAATCAATCAATAATACCGAAAGTCAACGAGAAACCATCCATAACGGAATATCAGCAGGTAAAATTGTAACATGGCACTGTTTTTTCTGTATGGTACTGTTCTCCGTCTATGGTGTATCATCACTTTGTAACAGGTGTTTGTTTTGTGGTCGAACACTTTTAGGTGGAAAAAGATCCTTTACGTCTGTCCTGCCGTGTCTACCCCACACGTGAGTCCTGTAAAGCATGTGTTCTAAAAATATAATGTTGTCCACATCAAGGTGGTGGTACGTGACAGGAAATTGACTGCAGCACTCTGCACCCTGTCAATAAAAGAGCAGTTTTATTAAAGCGGATCATCAAAAATCATTATCAATAGGTGAGATAATATATCTTTGTGGTGATGGTGGCCAGAGACACTATTACAAGATATAAAATATCGTACAACAGAGTACAATACAAAAATAGTATCTTCTTACAACTAGGTACAACACAAAGTTATAAAATATAGTAAAACAGAGTACAATAAAAAAAATAGTATTTTCTTACAAGGTACAACACAAAGTTGTAAAGAGTTTAAACTAAAACACAAAGTTACAAAATATTTACAACTAAGTAGAACACAAAGTTATAAACTATGTAAACTAAAACGCAAAGTTATAAAGTATGAAAAACAAAAACGCAAAGTTATAAAGTATGAAAAACAAAAACGCAAAGTTATAAAGTATGAAAAACAAAAACACAAAGTTATTAAATATGTACAACTGATACAACACATACCGCAGATAAGAGTGTTTTGTCTAGTATTCGGTGTGCTGACATATAAGGAATACCACAGATTAGAGTGTTTTGTCTAGTATTCGGTGTGCTGACATATAAGGAATACCGCAGATTAGAGTGTTTTGTCTAGTATTCGGTGTGCTGACATATAAGGAATACCGCAGATTAGAGTGTTTTGTCTAGTATTCGGTGTGCTGACATATAAGGAATACCGCAGATTAGAGTGTTTTGTCTAGTATTCGGTGTGCTGACATATAAGGAATACCGCAGATTAGAGTGTTTTGTCTAGTATTCGGTGTGCTGACATATAAGGAATACCGCAGATTAGAGTGTTTTGTCTAGTATTCGGTGTGCTGACATATAAGGAATACCGCAGATTAGAGTGTTTTGTCTAGTATTCGGTGTGCTGACATATAAGGAATACCGCAGATTAGAGTGTTTTGTCTAGTATTCGGTGTGCTGACATATAAGGAATACCGCAGATTAGAGTGTTTTGTCTAGTATTCGGTGTGCTGACATATAAGGAATACCGCAGATTAGAGTGTTTTGTCTAGTATTCGGTGTGCTGACATATAAGGAATACCGCAGATTAGAGTGTTTTGTCTAGTATTCGGTGTGCTGACATATAAGGAATACCGCAGATTAGAGTGTTTTGTCTAGTATTCGGTGTGCTGACATATAAGGAATACCGCAGATTAGAGTGTTTTGTCTAGTATTCGGTGTGCTGACATATAAGGAATACCGCAGATTAGAGTGTTTTGTCTAGTATTCGGTGTGCTGACATATAAGGAATACCGCAGATTAGAGTGTTTTGTCTAGTATTCGGTGTGCTGACATATAAGGAATACCGCAGATTAGAGTGTTTTGTCTAGTATTCGGTGTGCTGACATATAAGGAATACCGCAGATTAGAGTGTTTTGTCTAGTATTCGGTGTGCTGACATATAAGGAATACCGCAGATTAGAGTGTTTTGTCTAGTATTCGGTGTGCTGACATATAAGGAATACCGCAGATTAGAGTGTTTTGTCTAGTATTCGGTGTGCTGACATATAAGGAATACCGCAGATTAGAGTGTTTTGTCTAGTATTCGGTGTGCTGACATATAAGGAATACCGCAGATTAGAGTGTTTTGTCTAGTATTCGGTGTGCTGACATATAAGGAATACCGCAGATTAGAGTGTTTTGTCTAGTATTCGGTGTGCTGACATATAAGGAATACCGCAGATTAGAGTGTTTTGTCTAGTATTCGGTGTGCTGACATATAAGGAATACCGCAGATTAGAGTGTTTTGTCTAGTATTCGGTGTGCTGACATATAAGGAATACCGCAGATTAGAGTGTTTTGTCTAGTATTCGGTGTGCTGACATATAAGGAATACCGCAGATTAGAGTGTTTTGTCTAGTATTCGGTGTGCTGACATATAAGGAATACCGCAGATTAGAGTGTTTTGTCTAGTATTCGGTGTGCTGACATATAAGGAATACCGCAGATTAGAGTGTTTTGTCTAGTATTCGGTGTGCTGACATATAAGGAATACCGCAGATTAGAGTGTTTTGTCTAGTATTCGGTGTGCTGACATATAAGGAATACCGCAGATTAGAGTGTTTTGTCTAGTATTCGGTGTGCTGACATATAAGGAATACCGCAGATTAGAGTGTTTTGTCTAGTATTCGGTGTGCTGACATATAAGGAATACCGCAGATTAGAGTGTTTTGTCTAGTATTCGGTGTGCTGACATATAAGGAATACCGCAGATTAGAGTGTTTTGTCTAGTATTCGGTGTGCTGACATATAAGGAATACCGCAGATTAGAGTGTTTTGTCTAGTATTCGGTGTGCTGACATATAAGGAATACCGCAGATTAGAGTGTTTTGTCTAGTATTCGGTGTGCTGACATATAAGGAATACCGCAGATTAGAGTGTTTTGTCTAGTATTCGGTGTGCTGACATATAAGGAATACCGCAGATTAGAGTGTTTTGTCTAGTATTCGGTGTGCTGACATATAAGGAATACCGCAGATAAGAGTGTTTTGTCAAGTATTCAGTGAGCTGACATATAAGGAATACCGCAGTTAGAGTGTTTTGTCCAGTATTCGGTGTGCTGACATATAAGGAATAGCGCAGATTAGAGTGTTTTGTCTAGTATTCGGTGTGCTGACATATAAGGAATACCGCAGTTAAAGTGTTTTGTCTAGTATTCGGTGTGCTGAATGGAATTTGTGAGCAAGAACATCACTTTATCAGTTCACTTAAATAATGAGCCTGATAATATATTTAAGGTAGGTTACAAGAATAAAATGAAATCATTTGGGTTTTTTTCTAACCTATAGTCTCATTAAATCATTTCTAAATGTGGCTTTGGCATGCAACAACGTGCTGTCCATAAATTAACAGACAGTAAATAGTAACATTGCGATTCAAATAATAAAAAAATACTTTCGATACTATGAAATACGAATTTGTCAAATTCTGATTTACAACGCCCTGGCTTACCCTGTGCACGTGGTTAGTGGAGTATCTGTCGAGGTAGCTCGGCTGTAGGCCGAGTGTGTGCTGCCACGGCGTGTCGGTATGGAATGTTTCCCTTTGGAACTTATCTAAAGAACTGAACACAGAAACGTTCGAGGCCTGCAAACACTTGCCTATCTCCACATCTTCGTTTCCTCCATCTTCAAGACAATGGTTCTGTGAAAACCCAACTTCGACAAGCTGCTTGAGGGCCTGTTTGTTTATCACGTAGCCCGCTCCTCCACTCATGTAGCCTTGGTTAACGAACAATTTAAAGTGATAACCCAGATACCCCGCCTTGTTGGTGGGGTAATGTGATAATAGATACCGGAGGTTCTCCATTATCACATAGGTATCATCGTCTGCTTTTAAAAACCAGTCATATTTATGTAAGTAGTGTTTATACATATATTTAAGAGTGTATCGGACCTTGCCTGTCAAATGTTCCTTACTCTCCCCTACAGAACACGTGGACAAAATGTCACGCCCCTTCCGGTCGGTACACAGCAGGTAGAGCACCTTGTTACATCTTTTAGCCCATGTGGCGTTCACTACTACCACCCTGTTGTCCATGTTTCTCTCCATGGTGAGGATGTAACATAGGACGGTGACATTACGGTAGATCTCGTCTGCGTTCCGGCTGTCCACATATACTGCAACAAAGGAAGGATAGTAAAGAAAAGAAAATGCTGTCCGTACACAATGATAAAATAGGCTCTCATAGAGGAAACAACAGAAAAACAGGAATTGTGTCCTGTATCAGATGTAGCAACCGCTATAGATTTGTCTTCAAATCCAGGAAAATAAAAAATAAAACAGGTGATAATGACCAATGTAAACATTCCCTCAGCGTAGATCGAAGATTCTTACGTAGAAAATCCTGGATAAGGAGTTCATAGGTCAACAGAAAACCCTGATATATGAAACAGGTTCTGGAATAGCTAACCAACTGAGACAGTGTAAAACTCAATATGGTGTAATGTAGGAATGTTGCTACTGAGTAAAGGTTAAAACAAAGGCTGGGTGCTGGGTAGTTGAGAGTAGTCAAGAGAAAAAATAATAATAATAAATAATATACAGCATTTGATATATAGCTAACATATAAGCCACTCTTTACAGTACATAGATATACAATTAATACAATTAGCATTTATATTAATCAATTATCAGGCGCTATCTACTAGTCCTATGCCACCTGGCTAATATCTCCCTATGTATGTAAGCCTGCGTGTGTGCTAGAGATGTGATGTGTTCTGTTTGTAGTGGGACCGTGCTTCCAACGGCATCATTTAAAGTGCCACCTCACTTGAATGCTACAGCACAGATACCGCAACGACCACCCCAGACCATTTTATACTCCACCTGGGTTGTTGGAGTTGTTTATAAACAAAATGTATGCTATTTTTGCCTATGAATACATTGGTGGAGAGATGGAACGAATCTTAGAGGTGATATCTGAATGCCTGTAAGAAATACTTACATACATTTTCATACGTGTGCGAATTAAGAAAATTAAATAAGCATATCATATATAATATTCAAGGTAGATATATAGGAAACAAGTGTGATATTAGTATGTGTGGAAGAATCGTTCTGAATGAAAGTAGAAAATAATTATGAACGAACGAATGAATGGATTGGTGAGTAAAAAAGAAACAGATATTGTTAACTGTATTTAATGTATTGAAAGAATGTTTCCTTTCATCTAGCGCTCCCCACACGCTTATTCTTGTAAGCATTAGGACTGATCATTCGGTTTGTGAAAATGTATTTTATAAACAATGTCCTTAATTGTGAAAACGATACTATTTAAAGCATCAGTAATCCGAAGTTTTACCTTGACCTTTGACAACCTATGTTAAATATTAATATGGCTGTTCCTTCATACCAGGGCAACTTACACACCAAGAGCGAGATCTGTGCAGTTGTATTGCTTCAGAAAAACTGAGAAACCTTTGACCGCGTCAATACCCAAATTTTGACTCTGTGTGGTCATTTGCTCAGAATGTAAAATCCTGGCAAGAAAATAATTATTTAGTAAGGTAGCCTTTCCTTTCATTAATCAAAAATCCTTCCTCTTCCCGACGTCAACGAAGATACCAAGTTCAAGCACTGTGTCATTTGTGCTCAAATTAACAACCGGATAGGTCAAATGTCTATGAAGTTCTGTTTTTAGTGACAGTGACCTTGACCTTATGACGAAACACCAATGACAATACACGCCCAAATTCTAAAGGAGTTTACCCCCATCAAGGGAAATCCATCAACAACAAAGTATGGGTGATCACTCGTTCGGAAGTTCTAGTACCCGGACGGGTTTATCGTTCTGTGAAATTTTAGCTTCTTACAATTTAGTAACAGTGATCAATTTAGTAACAGTGATCTTTATATTTAATGGACCACACACAAAATCAACGAGATTTCTTCCTTTCTTTACCAAGCTCAAATTGCGATGTTGAGTTATGTGTGATCATTAGCTCCCAACTCTAAAATCAAATATCAAAACAGAGTTTTGCGTTATCATTGGCTCTCCACTATCAAATATCAAAACAGAGTTTTGTGATCATAACCCCCACCCCCAATATAAAATATCAGGTTGGAGTTTTGTATGATCATCGCCAAAAACAAAACCAAAACCAAAAATAGACAATCAAAACCGACAATTCTACAAAGCGGTTAACGGTTAGGTCTGCTGTTAAAAAGGAACGCAACTGAAGACCAATCTAGATTAATCAAGTTGACATTCTTTTGTTTACCAAGAGAATCAGTATTTTGCCGATTAAATAGTTATGTTATCACCCAGGCAAACACGTCAGCGGGAAACGACCACCAAGGAAAGAAAGTATGTTCCACCGGGTTGGCTTTTGTAAACAAATACAACTGTTAAGTGACAGAAAATAACAGTCTATTAACGGACAGGATTGTGTAGACGAGGAATAGCGAGGGGAAGTAGACAGTTTCATATAGCTTGTGTTACTTATCAGTGCGGAAACCTTTCAACAAAGACTCTACAAAGCTTGGCCTGGACTCGGAGAAACACATGAAAATGTAGCCAATATATAAAACATTTACTCAACCTAATGATATCACTTTTACAATACTATTCATCATTTCATGATAAAATGTTTCATGAACTATCAATACAGATGTGACGTGGCATTCTGTCAATGTCACTTTATGGTTATCTGAGGAAATACAAACTCGTTGATAAAGTCAGATTGTGTAACAGCTGTTTGAAGTATGTTTGTTTATATACGTGTATATATAAAAGAAAAGAAGTCATAATGTCAGTTAGTCCGATTGTCAAGCCAATCCACCTTTTTTTGAAGACAGAAACAGGAACACCTACAGATCAAAACATGTGTAGAAATAAACGGTCAGTATGAAACAATACTACAACATAAAATACATCAACAAAAAATCATACAAGATGTCATAGTCAATTGGATTGAATAGCAGGCAAAGCCTATATAAATTCTCTCCGTCAAATGGCCAAAGTGGAATAAACAAGGAGACATAATATTTAAGACATGTTGCAAATGAAAAAATTAACACAAAATAATTCATATTAACACAAGACTAAGGGGAAGTAACTCATGAAGGAAACATCTCGCACACATACACGTACATGTACAAATACATTTATTTCAGCACATATATACACTATCATAGACAGATATTGGCAGGCTTAGACCAAAAGTTCATGTGCATATATTGCACAGGTCACTGCAACCAACAACTGTTAAAATTAAAAATAATAAATTCATTTAATACATATATGATGTAATTATTTACAATGTCATGATAAGTACACGTTATAGACAGTAGTCATGCTCAACTAGAATCTCCTTGGATGAAATATAGAATGTATAGTATATTTTTGTTTAACATCGTGGTTTTAAGTCATATAAAAATTAAAACGACGGGATTTTCCAATAAAAATATGTACATCATCAAGTATTCTTCTATTTGTAAGCCCATCACAATCAGGACAGCCCTGGAGAAGAATGATTTTATCAATGTGATTGTGGTTTCCATAACTATTAAGAGAAGTGAACAAAGGGATTTAAAACATTTTGTAAGTAGTGAGGTGTCTGCCAATGCATAATTTTGTACATCATTACATGTTTGTGTTTATTTCGTCTTACAGATAGTGTTTCCCAACCTAGTTCATTGTATAGTTTGTCATGTGATACCCCAGAACGAAGACCTGTTATTATCCTAGCTGCTTCTAATTGTACAGATTCAAGAACATCTTTTGCCTGTTGTGTACAATTATCCCAAATAATATCTGCATATTCCAAAATTGGCCTAATAAATCCCACATATATTTTAATTAATGATTTTCTATTGACTTTAGTTTTGACATGGCGAAGAATATTAAGTCTATTGTAAGCTTTTTTGTATATATTCTGTATGTGCTGTTTCCATGTTGCATCATCTTGAAGTGTAAGTCCTAAGTGTTGATGTGATGATGTGTCTATGATTTGGCTATTTTGGAAAAATAGTGGGATGTGATGGGTGTCTTGTTTTCTAGGAAATATGAGTGATTTTGTTTTACTTGGATTTAATTTAATGTCCCAGGTTGTTGCCCATTCACCTATGTTAGTAAGATCAGTGTTGAGAGATTGTGCGGCCTGTGCTGGGTTATTATCTATAATTACATACAGAGAAGTGTCATCAGCAAAAAGTTTGATATTGGTGGAAACATTAGTAGTGATATCATTGATATAGAGAAGAAATAAAAGTGGTCCGAGGACAGATCCTTGAGGTTTTTACATTCTTAAATTGTGAAAAGTAACCTTCAGTATTTACTCTTTGCATTCTGTTAGACAGATTATTTTCAAACCACAAAAGTAGATTTCCATTTATACCATATAATTTCAATTTAAATAAAAGACCTTCGTGCCATACTCTGTCGAAGGCTTTACTGATATCACAAAAAACAAATCGAAGCTCCTTTCCTTTATCCATATTCCTTACAATTTCATTATAAAAAACAAAAGCTGATTGACAGTAGAATCACCAGGTATAAAGCTCGACTGATGCTTAGTAATAATATCATTCTCAATCAAAAAGTTGTATAGATATTTAAAAATATTTTTTTTTCCATTATTTTAATGAAGCATGATGTAATTGAAATTGGTCGGTAATTTAACACATCAATAGATGAGTCATTTCCTTTATAAATAGCATTAACATTTGTTTGTTTCCAACTAAAAGGTATTATACCAGACTCTAGTGTCTTATTGAATAATAACATAAGAGGTAATTTAAGAGAAGCATGAAGCTTTTTCACAATTTTAGGAATAACACCATCAGAGCCTGGGGATTTATTAGTGTTGAGTATATTAATTTGATCGGAAACATCTTGTTCAGTGATATGAATGTTTGATAGTGAATGTGGGGTATTGGGTTGTGCTGTTTGGAGTAATTCGAGGTCAGGTGTTGATGTAGAAATATTAGTGAAGTGATTGTTAAGAAGCTCTATTAAGGTTATAGATTTTCCCACTACCTTTATTCACATTTTTAAGATGAATGTTTTCCCAATTAGCCTTCGGTTACAAGCTAACTGAAGGGACATACGATAACATCGGCATATATTATAAGTGATAACTGGTTTTGTGTTTATGTATTTTGTGATGTAGTATTGTGTGATAGTGACTGTTTTTCTCTTTTGTCATATGTTGTGATAAACAAGTGTTCATGTTTCCGCCTTAGAAAGGGGCGTTGCTATGAAAATATGACAAATTCCTTCGTCTACATTGTCGTTATTTTTGCTTTGACATCTATTTAACTAATACGTATCAATCGAATATATTGGATCATGTTGTCGTTATTACTTATGAGAACTATATGTATGTAGGAGGGATAGCGGATAACTAGAAAGGACATGAACTCTCCTTTCCGCCACGATTTCTTCAGGCTCTCTGGTCCAACAAGATCACACACGTGGAACTGCTGAAGGCGGCTATCCAATTCTGATTGGACAGGAGATGTGGTCACGTCATCTGAGATGGTTAGGAAATGTGCTTTATATGCTGAATAGCAACATATTCAGGAAGTTGGATGCACATTGAAAGAGCAATCGAGGGAAGACCAAGGATTACTTCACGAAGGGCCACCAAGGCGGATCTGAAAGAGAAGCTGGCGGAATACGCTCCTTTGATGTTTTGAGAGCCAATAGCGGAAGCAATTACTTGTTTTGAAGAGAATAGACTGTAATATTATACAATTATTGACTTTTGTGCCGGTGAATATGATGTGATATGAACCTGAAAAAGCGATATTAACCGAGGCGAAGCCGAGGACAATATCGTTTTTTCAGGTTCATATCACATCATATTTTACCTGCAAAAAAGCCCATAACTGTTTTATTGTATGCTTCAACAATAAAAAAAAGTATTGTTAATATTTGACTGGAACTCGCCAAGGTTGAATTTAACAGTTCGGCATCATAGCTTTCGAAGACATCGTTAAAGGGGCTGGTCGGGGAAAAAATTACAAAATAAATGGGTCTAAATGCGTTCTCTGGCCTTCCAAAACTTATACCACGGCAATATGATGGTCGAGTTCTACTTGCAATGTCCAGTTTTGACCACTGAAATATCGGGGAAGCCCCACGTAAATTTAGCGCAGATCTATTTATATATGTCACGTGGATGTTTCGAAAGTGAGGCAGTGAAGATAACAACAATAGCACGCCGTCTATCAGCCATGTCGGACTCAACTAGCGGACAAGACAGCAATACTATACGTAAATAATTGTTTTCAAAGGTCATGTATGATGCAAGTGTAGTATTCCTACCTATATGTTGTTGTTACATATAACGGTATTGATACCTCGTGCCTGTCATGACTTTTGCATGCATCTTTTTCTTTCGCCACAATGTTTACATTTGGCCTAGTTGATGACGCGTATGCGGTAAAATTACATCACTGATCTGGGTCAATTGAGAGTTTTAGGCTGTCAGGTGACGATTTAGGATTTCTTTAATATAATTATAATTTTTACTCTTAGGGAGTGAATTTCAGCAAAATTTGAATCGGTATATTTCATAAGAAGGTATTTTAAACATGTGTATGCCATTTTAGCAATTATGACATTTTTCCCCGACCAGCCCTTTCAGGTTCGTTCCCTTGAGATAAGCATTGATGACACATACTACGTGTTGGGTGGCCTTTTGGGGGGTTAACAGTATCTTTATCTTCGAGCAGTTTTTGGAAATTGTCAGATTTAACGGAAGCGAAGCGTTCGCCAGCAGTCATCCTCTGTTGTCGACTGACAGATCGCGTTCCGTTCTAACTGTGCATGCGCTGCTACAGGTTCCGGGGAGTTTCCATATAGGCTATATTTAGAAATCGAAATTCAACGGAAAAGCAGTCAACATGAGTTTTTGAGGACTGGTCACGTGTATAGGATCCGACCAATGTGATTGCGAGAAATGTTCAGGCATATAATCATTTTGTCTGGACGACATTTGTAATTAGTGATCCCCGTCCCACTGCAAGGAAATGCATGTTTACATTTTTCTCGGCTTAACTGTAGAAAGCTTTGATAAAATATTTCTGGAAAGAAAATCACATCTTGCGGAATTTATATGTAAAAGATACTGATAAAATAAACAAAAAAGAAAGAAATCAACAGTAGTGTGCCGAGTATAAAGGATTCGAACCCGGGACAACCGATGAATTACTGTGACAGAGGAAACTCAACGGCAATACTCTGGCCAGGTCATTCAACAGTCATAGAAGAATCAAAATTGAAGGGAGATTACTGTATTTAAGAGGTAAAATACCAGTTGAGTTCTCTATATAGGCATCAGCATAAAGACATCACTTACACGTCGAATCATCCTTCAATTGGGCTGCAATGTCATCAACTCGTCCTGATTCAATCGATAAAATGGAAATGTGGAGGTAGGAAGGACAAAGGTACCAACAAGCTAAACTTAAACTTTATTATTAGCACTGTCTACATGTCTACATTTCAATTATTTGACAGACCGTTCAACCAATTGAACTAGCAGGTCGCCGGTGATCTACCAGTCCAGTTCCGCTATATTTTCCCCTCCTTCCGTCTTCTACTCCGAAGACACACTGCTTCACAGTCTATACAGTTACGTAATGTAGTGTATTAACTCATTTGCCCATGCAATTTCATAATAAAATATTCCCACCTATGAACTGAAATGTGTTTTCAGGGGTGATTGAGTTAATTGTGAGATCTATGTTGTAATTATAGGGCTGCAGTTACTGGTACAGGTATCTGTTTGTCTGCAGTGGTTATGGTCTAGGACAATGCAATCATTAGGTTTATTTGGTATTTCAGATCAACTTCTAAGCCACAGGTCTAAAATGTGCCCGACATGTTTGTTGCATAGGGACAATGTCCCATGCTAAATATCTGAAGACAAAGGAGATTGATTGAGTGGGTTAACGTCCGCTACACTACCGAGTAGGTCGGCTATCCAGCAGACGAATGACAATAGGGGTCACAGAATATAAGTAGTAGTTTATATACTGGGACGTCACACATCTATATATGTGGCATGTTGGTGTTACACGAAGAACTTATCACTCATCTGTTACCATGGTGATTTCAATAAACTGAATTCACTAAAAATGCAGTAACCATGACAAAATAACATATTTATTTACTGTGTCTGTTTTTATACATCTACAAAGTCTATACAAAACTCCCAATAATGTATTATGAGGAAAATGTATATGACGCCGTAATTCCGTAATAAGGGGGCTGCAAGCAGCGAGTTCGAAACTCAAGTAACTAATCAACCGCTTCGAATAACTAGAGTAACTTGAAATAATTAGCATGTTGATAGTTATTAGTTAGAGGTCAGTTTGTCAATGAGATTTGATTTAGTTATTCAGAATCTCGAATAACAAATCCGCTGTTGGCATCTGTTTAGTTACTCGACTAAAGAACTCCCAATAACTGACCCGCTACTAACGTCGGACCACGTAGATTAGTACGCGGTCGCATTACTTACGTGAAGAATCATCCTTTAACTGTTCCGTAATCTCAGCAATGCGACCATCGCTTCCATGGTTATCTGAAATGAAAAATAAACAATTCTTTGTCAACATCACATCTTATTCTGTAAATATGTAAATTTTGAAGTGCTCCGCATCATGTTATAGCACTACACTACAGCATTCGGAACATCTCGCCTGATTCGGTCATCTAACAGACTTTTTTTGCATTCGGAACACCTCGCCTTTGCTACCTAGCATAGGTTTCGTAGAAAATGACGAAAGGGTATTCCGAATGACTTTTTTTGCTGAAGGGAACTATAATCAGGGCGATGTGTTCCGAATGAATCTTTGTTGAAAGGTACTATCATCGGGGCGATGTGTTCCAAAAGTACACTACAGCGATGCAACATGCAATGCATGATGCTATATTCGGCGGTCATCGTAATTAAACTATTTCAGATTAGCACTGAAACCCCTTAGATATGAATAACGTTGAAACCTGTACGTTTGTCCTAGACGTACCTTCTCTCCTTGTAATGGTGACTATCGTCAGAGTGATAATGACTGCCAACAACAGGAGTCTGAAGCGGTACTGCCTGAGGAACAGTCTGGTTGTAGCAGCACTACAACACATTCATCGCATACAATACAAAACATCGTATTTTCGCTTCAGAAACAATACAATACCCACATTTACTAACAAGTGTGTTTAAATCGAGTGCCCGAGCCCCTTCACAAATCTCGGACTTTCGTAAGGCTACAACCAGAACATAAATATTGTATCATTATAAAATGTTTTATAATAAACATAATATTGATGTTAAGTAAGTATTGTACTTAACTGTTGATAAGATATTCTATTGTTGTGTCATCGAAAAACGAGGATGAAAAGTGAGAGAACCTGATAAGTGATGGCTAGAAAAACGAGACTGGATTGTGAGACAACCAGATTAGTGGTGGCTAGACTAACGAGGCTGGATAGTGAGACAACCTGATTAGTGGTGGCTAGACTAACGAGACTGGATTGTAAGACAACCTGATAAGTGATGGCTAGAAAAACGAGACTGGATTGAAAGACAACCTGATAAGTGATGGCTAGAAAAACGAGACTGGATTGTAAGACAACCTGATTAGTGGTTGCTAGACTAACGAGACTGGATAGTAAGACAACCTGATTAGTGGTGGATATACTAACGAGACTGGATAGTGAGACAACCTGATTGGTGGTGGCTAGACTAACGAGACTGGATAGGGAGACAATCTGATTAGTGGTGGCTAGACTAACGAGACTTGATAGTGGGACAACCTGATTAGTGGTGGCTAGACTAACGAGACTGGATAGTAAGACAACCTGATTAGTGGTGGATAGACTAACGAGACTGGATAGTGAGACAACCTGATTAGTGGTGGCTAGACTAACGAGACTGAATAGTGAGACAACCTGATTAGTGGTGGATAGACTAACGAGACTGGATAGTGAGACAACCTGATTAGTGGTGGCTAGACTAACGAGACTGGATAGTGAGACAACCTGATTAGTGGTGGCTAGACTAACGAGACTGGATAGTGAGACAACCTGATTAGTGGTGGCTAGACTAACGAGACT